AGGGAACACTGAGTTTCTGAATCCGGCAAACCTCTTCACCCTGTAACTTCCCATTGTTGAACATTATGTCCCTATAAAGTTGCCTCAGTAGTTGGAGTTTCTGAAGTTGTATACTTAAGGAGAATTATAACAAAAGCAATTCTGTGTGATTGATTTATTCAAAAATTCACTAATAAAAAACTTTCCTAAGTATTTTACTTTCAGTGTATCCTTGAAATACTTGAAAACTACTGAGTGCAAAGAAAAATCATTGAATATATGAAAGTTCACGCATTAGACTTGTTTCTACCAATTTTCTAATTAAAGATCAAAAGCATTAATTTTATTTTAGAAAAAATAGGGAAGGGTAGATGAAGAGAGGGAAAGGCAAGGGAGGGAAGACAAGGAGAAGACAAAGGGAGAAAGGGACAGAAGGAAGAAACCAAGAAATAGACATTTATGAAACTCCACTATGACCCAGAACGTTTTTAGTCACTTTTATTCAGCATTCTCTGTTTTGCTCACCTAATCCTCACAACAATTCTATGGCCCCCACTTTATTTTTTGGAGGAGAAAACAATAAATTCAGCTATATTACACTTGACATTTATGACAAGACAGAGATGCTAAGAGGGTGAAATAAACTTTCTCCCCAAAATTGGCACAGATTTTGCTTTGTAGGCATTTTTGTTCAAAGGCCTGTTTTTGATCCATAACTATGACATTTCCTGGCACTAGGAATTGCTCTGGCCTTGAAAAAGGGAAGTTCTGTAGGTTGGCCTTTCTCCATATTAAGTGATAAGTTTGGCTCCTTGCAATTAAGCACAAGATTCTGTCTGCTTTGAGAACATGTATCCAGATACATGTATCTTCATGTAGCTTCCCATTACCAGGAGCAAACCTGATTGAGAGTTTGCCTGGATGACCCTCAGTTACCTGAAAAACAAAAGGGGTGCCACCTTTTAACCTGGTCTTGACGTGATTCAAGGAAAGTTAGGAATATAAGGAAAAATTGGAGCCACTTGCTACCTAACTGTAAGAGACACTTTATGATGATTTCTGAACATTTCCAGTGTTTAAAGACCATTAGAATGAAACAGAGAATGTTATAACACCTCTTTCCCAGGTACTTTGAAATTAGTCTATTCCCTTTCTACACGTCCTTTGGTGAAATCTGCAGCCATCTCTTGACGTCTCAAACCACTCCTCTCCTAAGAAGTTGCAGTGTTAAGCACCTGCTAGTAAGAGAGAGAGTTTCAGCTCACAGTTAATTACATGTAGCCTTAAGCAGTCTGCTAGTCTCTGAAAGTAATTACTGTCTGCATATCCTGTGAATAGTTATTAAATGAACCTAAAAGATTACTACATACTCAAGATCAGTGACAGATTCACCAAAACAAAAAACAAAATTCTGTATATTCTTTACTACCTTCCTTTTGTTGGGTCTTCATTGATGCATGTCTTTGGAGCCAACCTGGCATTGGCTATGGCGGGTACTTATGGTCATTTTCTCATAGGTGTACAAGGGTCCAAAAATAAGGGATGAGGGAGGGTGGGAAATGAGAAGAGGAAAAGAACATGGCTGAAAATGAGACATGACACCATCGTTAATGGTTAAATTTGAAATTTCTTGACTTAATTAGTCGTAGTATCGTGAGTGCCAATGAAATAGGTAAAACTGAACCGAGTATCTACAGCAAATTGTTTGAGAAAAGAGAAACAGTACAGACCCCAGTATTACTAGGGTGTTTTTGACGGTGGAGCCTGCATGTAGAACTAACTTTTTAATCGTTATTTGTCTGTTATAATTCATTGCCAGATTGTAGCACAGAACATATACGTTTGGAATGGTCTGCCACTCAGATATGCTTGTTCAGAACAGTCTGACAAAAGTTTAAACGAGTCTTGAATGTTTATCTTTTCTTTGGGCTGTGATGTGGGACCGCCTTCTGTAGCCCAAAGTGGGGCATCTGCCTGGCTCTGTCAGCTGCGTTTCACAATTCCAGCACCTTGGCAGCTGGTAACTCTGGGGAACTTGGCTCGTAATGAGTATAAACTGCCACCTGCTAAGTTAAGACATTTTGGTCATGGCATAGAAACCCGAAGAGTTAGATTTCTTATAAGTGTGATTGTCTTAGATGGAGATCCAAACATTTTAAACACACTTTTCTACCCATTAAGAGAGTATATGATTTTATTAATAAAAATTATTTCCAGTGGAAATTGGAGCAAGATTTTTAAAGCAAAATAAGAAAAAAAATTGAATTTCTCAAACTGTTTTGCATTTTATATGTCATTTCATCTTTGGAACAACACTGTGATTGATCCTCTTTTAATGTAAGTAAACTAAATGTCAAAAATTTTAGATGACTTAGAGTTACTAATTTGGTATTTTATTTATTTATTTATTTTTAAATATATTTTATTGATTATGCCATTACAGTTCTATTTCCCCCCTTCATTCCCCTCCATCCTGCACACCCCTCTCCCACCATTCCCCCCCTTTAGTTTATGACCTCGTGTCTCAAGTTCTTTAGATTCTATATTTCCCATACTATTCTTGCCCTCCCCCTATCTATTTTCTACCTACCGTCTATGCTACTTATTTTCTGTACCTTCTCCCCCCTTCTCCTTCTCCCACTCCCCTGTTGCTAACTCTCCATGTGATCTTCATTTCTATGGTTCTGCTCCTGATCTAGCTGTCCTCTTAGTTTGCTTTTGTTTTAGGTGTGGTTCTTAATAACTGTGAGTTTGCTGTCCTTTCACTGTTCATCTTTTTTATCTTCTTTTTCTTAGGTAAGTCCCTTTAACATTTCATATAATAAGGGCTTGGTGATGATGAACTCCTTGAATTTGATCTTATCTGAGAAGCACTTTATCTGTCCTTCCATTCTAAATGAAAGCTTTGCTGGATAGAGCAATCTTGGATGTAGGTCTTTGGATTTCATGACTTGAAATACCTCTTTCTAGCCCCTTCTTCCCTGTAAGGTCTCTTTTGAGAAATCAACTGACAGTCTGATGGGAACTCCTTTGTAGGTGACTGTCCCCTTAGCTCTTGCTGCTTGTAGGATTCTCTCCTTCATTTGAATCTTGGCTAATGTAATTATGATGTGCCTTGGTGTGTTCCTTCTTGGGTCCAACTTCTTTGGGACTCTCTGAGCTTCCTGGATTTCCTGGAAGTCTATTTCCTTTGCCAGATTGAGGAAATTCTCCTTTATTATTTGTTCAAATAAGGTTCCCACTCGTGACTGTTCCTCTTCTCCTTCTGGTACCCCTATAATTCGGATGTTGGAGCGTTTAAAGATGTCCTGGAAGTTCCTAAGCCTTTTCTCATTTTTTTGAATTCTTGTTTCTTCATCCTTTTCTGTTTGGTCATTTTTTTCCTCTTTCTAGTCCATTCCTTTGATTTGCGTCCCAGTTTTCTTTCCATTACTATTGGTTTCCTGTGTATTTCTATTCATTTCAATTAGTTTAGCCTTCATATGATCCTCTAATTTGTGACTATAATCAACCAGTTCTGTAAGCATCCTGATCACCAGTGTTTTGAACTGTGCACCTGAAGTTTAGCTATTTCTTCACCTCTTAGACTTATCGGCTCTGGGGCTCCGAGTTGTTCTTGAGCCCTGTTTTGATCTGTTCGTGCCTGTTAAGTAGGAGGAGGTGTTCACCAGGGCGGGGCCACGCAGGTCGCTGGTTTGTGATGTTATACATGGGGGTGGGTCAGAGAGGGGCCACCCAGGTCGCTGGTTTGTGACGCTGTAGGTGGGGGCGGGGTCAGAGAGGAACAATGGCGGTCCCCTCTGCCACTGGGGCCTGCACGGTCTGTCTCACCGCTTCACTCCTTTAGCAGTTAATCTGCACTCGAATGTGTGACTGTGGTCAGCCCTCGGTGGGTCCACCCGCTACTCCACACCTGGGATCCGCCTACAGCTGCCGGAGCACCTGGGTTGTGCACGCCTGGGTTGGTCCGGTGGATCTTTCCTGCCTGACCCTGCTCTGCTACTGGCTCTGCCCCTCTTACCGGTTTGGCTGAAGGGTTCATTGTTGTCAGACTTCCGTGTAGTTCAATTTTCTGTGTTATGGCTGCGTTTTTGTTGCTAAAACTTCGTTGTTTTTAAACTTGGTTGTGTGAGAGGGCACAGTGCTTCTACCTACGCCTCCATCTTGGCAGAAGTCTAATCTGGTATTTTAAATTGCATCTTTAAACCCTAAATACACAAATCCTAAGTGCTAGAAATCTAATTACATTAGGTATAGCTTAATGTGATCAGAGATTTCCCTCCAAACTGAGCACAGTGTTTTCTTTAATTCTCTGTATTCAGTCTCCTAAATTGGTTCTGGTACATAATCTATGAGAGGGAAACGAGACCATGGGTACATTTTAACATTTGGCTCCTAGGATAGTTTTGCTGCTTTTACATTTTCCTTGCTGAAGCAAAATAATGAAAATACTGTTCTGTGATTGAGTTTGGTCTCTTGCTAATATACCAGTCTCAGCTTGACTACCAACTTTGGGGACTTACTAATGCGGTAATCACATTTTGAGTCTACTGGAACTCGGAATATAAAATTGAGACTGTAGTCCAGCGCTGGCTCAAGACTTTAAGTCACAGAGATACACAATCTGGTTGCATAATCAGAACAGAGGGAGTGATTCTGTTGCAGTATAACCTGCCATGGTTGTGTAGATGTGACACTTGAACTTCAGATTTCCAGTCTTAGACAGTTGTGAAACATTCTATGTTTAGATTAGGTGGTTGGTTAAAGGAATACTTATATCATACATGTACATTTAACCATCTTTTCCTTTTTTAATTTTGCTGTCTGATCTTAGAAAGGGAGAGAAAAACTTTTGACAATACTTATCTTTTTTACTGTATTTGTTTCTCTAAGAAAATTGTTATCTTTTCTTTGGAGTCCGATTTCTCTACAGTTTGTTTATGTCAGTGGCTCTTGACAAAATGATTAATTGTTTCTAGAAAGCATATGGATTTGGAACTCTCTTGTTATGTTTATATTAGGCTTTATTTTAAAGGCAAGTGAGACTGCTTCAAATAAAACAACAAAGAGAAGGCAGAGACGAGCAGAAGCACCCCTTCACTAACACTCACGCACTGCCATGGACCTGCACGAGCAGTGGGGGAACCCAGAGACCGACTGGCACAAGGAGAAGATGGAGTTACTGGACCAGTTTGACAATGAAAGGCGGGAGTGGGAAACCCAGTGGAAGATCATGCAGAAGAAGATAGAGGAGGTACCAGCTGGTGTGTTTTGAATACACTGGAAACGTAACGCTCATAATGAAAGTGAAAATGCTGTTGAAGTTTGTCTTCCATTGTAAATTATTTTTATTTTCCTTATTTCATTTAAGAGATGCGTGTCGCGGTGACATTTACCACACCAAAAATAGCGTAACCTTACCCAGTGCTATCACAGGGACTAGGCTTATTTTGTAGCCTTGCATGAAAATTAAGCACTTCAAATGTCACTCTAAAGCATATCAGTTTATTATTTTCTGACTAGAGTGCCTTGGAGTTAAAAAATAAAGTATGCATTTTTTTCATGAGTTTTCAAATACTGGGTCCAGGAGGAAAATGCAAGAACAACATAATTGGTAAAACAAATTAGCAAAATTACAATTGAGCATTAAAATGCAGATCTTTCCTGAGAAGATTTATGAATAATGTCTACAAAGGAAATTACATATTAGATAATACAGTAAACTCAAAAGGAGTGTCGTCTGTCAAACAGAAAATGGCAGTGGGCCCGATACTACCCTGGTCGGTGAGTCGCACGTGCCGGCACCTGTGTTAGAGAAGAGGTAACCAAAACTGGCATGCCGAGACTCTGATACAAATAGTCACTTCATTCCCATTAACCTTCCCTTCACCTGCTGAGTCTATAATATTCCTTTAAGCATTTACATGGATGTACATTCAAGCCGGTGGCAACTGAAAACGATGTATGCTTATCTTGCTTTGTTCTGGTGACACTGATGGCATTGACTTACATGGCTTTGTGCACATTGCCGAAGTGACTGTTTTAGCAGACTCCTTGGCCTTTATTCAGAGGCAGTCAAAGCGGGTGCTTTGTGTGTTTGTAGTACAAATATTTTTTTATTAACAGCCATGTAATTGGTAGTGAATAAAATACAAATTGGCATGCACCAAGACAAAATTAAAAAAGAGTAGCTATTAAACCGTTCCTCTAAAGTGGAGATGAGGAGGCAGGCATGTAGTGTATGATTAGAGGTGGCGAGGAGGACCCACTGCTCATGCCTGCGGTGTTCGGAACAGGTGTGTTGCTCACTCTCTGAATCCCTCCCCCCGAGACTCAGGTTGGATCAGCCAGAAGACAATCTGGGTCGAATCAGAATCCACAACTCCAGTCAGAAACCCAAAGTCTTGAGTCAGTGGCTCCCAAAGGCTTGGAAGGTCCGGTTAGGAAGAGTCTCAGAGAACTGTAGCATCCAAGCAAAATAACTAAGTGAGTCATGATTAGTCTAGCCAATGGTTAAGCCATGTCACACAAAAACAATGCTGTCTGGCTAAATTTTTCATTGTAAAATACGTAATTCTGATAGCTCTGTAGATTTCATCTGTAGTAAATATGAGCCTTATCAACTAAGCATTAAATATACTTAACTTTTTATAGATTATACTATTACAGTTCTCCCAGTTTTCCCACCTGTGCTCCCCCCACCAGCACCACCCACTCCCTCTGGCAATCCCCTCCTTGGTTCATGTCCATGGGTCATGCATATAAGTTCTTCAGCTACTCTGTTTTCTGTACACGTTCTTAACATCCCTCTGCCTACTGTGTAACTACCATTTTGTACTTAATCTCTTCACCTTTTCCCCCATTCCCTCCAGAACCCTCACCCAAACTGGCCACTCTCCCACTGTTCTCCATATCTGTGATTCTGTTTCTGTTCTGCTTGTTTGCTTAGTTTGGGTATTAAACATACTTTAAACTTAGGCTGATAGTCCCTAAAAACACTGTTCCTTTCTGCTTCACGGGGAAAGAAGGGCTATAATGTGTTTCTTCACCTTGCTGCTTGCAGTATACAGCTCCACAACCAGGGAATACGTTTAGAGAATGGGCTGACCCAGAATATTCACAGAGGATGCTCTTCAGTCCCTGAACACCAGTGCTGTGCTTCCCATATCATTCAAATACGTATTTCTTTTACAGTCCCAGCTTTGTAACCCATAAGAATGTACATTTTACACATCACTTCTTACAGGCCATAAAGCTGGGGGTAGAAAAAATTGAGGAAAAGAGAAAGAAAGTATCCTTACATGTCACAGAAAATCAAGGTGATTCATTTCAGACTAAAATTAAAAGTCAGTCAATACTTGGAAAAACTATGACATACCATGAGAGAAATACACTGTTTACATTTATTACTAAGTTCTATATATTAAATCAGATGCAAATTATTAAACTGTATATTAGGGAATTACATATTTTAGGAGCACACATATAGCTTTAGTGATTCCAAGTAATAATATTTTCCAGTGAGAGGTTCCAGCATTGAATATGAAGATGCTGGTGATTCTCTATTCAGCCACTATCCATGATCATTGTATTTGCTATTGTAAAACCAGGATGTACATACTTATATCATTTAAAACTTGCTATATTCCAGATAGAAATGCTGTAGAGAGTACATAGATGCCTGGAATATTTTTATCACATTGTAGTCTTTTCTGTTTATCTCCTTTGGTCAAATGATTAGGTAACCATTGTCAAGGGCTGGGTACCAGATGTCCTTACACAAAATAAACTGTTTTCCATTAATAACATTATGTAATTTGCTTACTCATACCTCACCTGAATTCCCAAGAGAACTTGCAGTGGCATATACAAAACAAAAAGAAAGGTGAGATAAAGACAAGAGGAAGAGTCATACATAAAATGTATGTAGCAAGTCTGTCTTTCTACTAACACTAATATTATCAGGTACATATTTCTCAATATTCAGAAAACAAAAGCAAACTTGTCCCGACATGGTACTTCTGTCTCTACTTTTGAAACTAGAGCACTTTTGTTTTAACCCATGACTCCTCAAAAAGAACATGGCCAACAGCATCCTTAGATTGAACATGATGCTTTTGAGGGTTCTTATAATATCCTCATGGCCAGCAACAACCATAATGCACAGAGCAGTTCAGTAGAAATAATTTTACCAGGGCCATGGCTGCAATGTGATGCTATCCTGACTTCGTCCAACCGCAGACTCTTAGCGATCTAGGGAAGTAAATGCACTGTGCAGCTTTCAGGTGTCACCTGTGTATAGTGTTTCTCTCCCCTGAAATTTAGGTAAATAATTGAGCAGCAATAAATCTGTTATTCCTTAAATAGTAGATGTAGTACGAATATAGGCTGTGACTGTAAAATGTAGTCATTTGCTTGGATTGTTATTTGATAGCCTCCTTTGAAATTTGACAAGCTTTCCCAGAACTCAAGCCAGAAGAGGAAGCCACTTCTGCTGTCGAGAGGTGACCTGAGTGAGTGCCAGCAGGGTAACTAAATTGTCATCAAGAAAAAATTTGGGCTCCACTTGAACATAGACTAATAGATGGTCAGAGCCTTCGAGTTCTTTTATATCACATAGGACAGGGTCACGTTTGTCTTAATCAGCACGAAAAACTTTTTTTTTAATGTGTATAGCCTGGCATTAGAAAATCTCAGTATTAACCAGCCCTCGCCAACATAATTTCCAACAGAAACATGCTTTGATTTCAAAATGTCTACTTTAGGGGACAGAATAAACTGACTATATGAGATTGTCAACTCTTTTGATAGTAAATGTTGGTGTGCAGGTGGGCTCATGGTTTAAAAATATGGCTTTGATGTTAGTCAAACTGTTACTTCTCTCTGAAAGCGACGAGAGAGCATGGCTAGTAACTGATTCAGGTCATTCTAATTTCATGTCAGTACTTCTGTATCTTAGTGATATCTGTGTGTAGATTCAGGTTTATTTTACTTTGGACTGAGCTGATTTCTACTCAGAAAGACTGAAATTGTCATCCATGCTTTGATCTATAAAAAGTAGTCTTTATGGTTTATCAAAGTTGTTCTGGCTAATCCACATTTTAGAAGTACTTACTATTCAGAAGCATAAGCATGAATAATATCCCAGTGTAGTATATAGTCATATGGCAAAGAGAACTGGAAACAGTGTACTTAACTTCAAAAATATTAACAGTCTGAGTTAAGGGGGTAAAAATTCTTATCTTTGTTTTCCTTACAGCTTTGCCATGAAGTAAAGCTTCGGAGGAAAATCAACATGAGTGAACGTGCTAAAGTCATTGGTCTTGATTGTGAGAAGGCCATTCGAGATAGAGTGGTGGAATCTTTTCCAAATTACCCCAATTCAGGACCACATGAATTTACAGGGATGAATCACAGGGATGATCTGGAAAAAGAACATAAAACAGAGCAGAGCATAATCAGTGAAGGAAATCAAATGTGTAAGGAACAAAAAGCAACCAAAAAATCAAAGGTAGCGTTTATGGACCCTTTGGCCACAGATGACCAAAAGGAAAGTGGGGCCTGGCTTGACCTGAGGACTTCTGAGGAAACGGGCGAGGGCTGCTCCGGCGCCCTCAACACAGTAAGTAAGCCGGGACTGGCAGAGAATGTTTCCAAAAGTTATTTACATTTCCTAGTCCTAACACATTATTGCTTATATATGTATCTGTATATAAAGGCTCTTGAAGAACTTGCCAAAGTCAGTGAAGAATTATGCAGCTTTCAAGCGGAAATTCAAAAGCGGTCTAACCACAGAAGGTAGGCTGGTTTTCTATGATTATTTTGTGTTGGAAAAATCAAGAAAAGTTCTGTGTTTAGTTAGTGACTTCCTTACACTCTTTCAGTCATAATTAACAATGAGTTATTAAAATCTGTTTTTAGATAAGAGATAAAATCTTTAATTGATTATTTTTCTGTTTGCTAATTCTTTAAACAATTTTTAAAATAATTCTTATTTTGAGCGTACTTTCAGGTATGTTCAAACTGTGGAGCTTCATTTGCTAAGTGTGTCTTTTTCACCTAGCCAATTTTTAAAAAATCCCAAACATATCTCACTAAACAAATCTTATTTGTTTTCTCCTAATTCTCTTTGTAATTTGACTGTCAGGAATACTTTACTCTTCTGGTATTTATTTAAGGTATACCATTTGTAATAAGTTATCAAATACATTCTAATGAAGGTTTTTTTTCTATTTTGAGTATTTACACAGTAGAAGAATATACAGCTGAGCTAATCCAGTGAAATACCTCTTTAAACAATGTCAGATTTAACAATGTGGTGTCTTAATTACATAATGATGTTCTACTGAAATGTTTTATACCTAAGGGTCATTTATTTCTGTACATCTATTATGTGGATAATAGAAACATACATAATTTTCAGAACAACATATGAGAAATGTGTACATACATATGTATGATGCTATGAAATACTGTTTCAACTCAGAGACACCTATATAATTGTAAAAGTAAGTTTGAGCCAAATTAAAAAATAAACTGAAATTTTCTGCAAGTTAAGTAAAGATGGATTATCTTAGGATCAACATGTATCTCCAAGTGAGGCAGAATGCTTCTCTTAGAAAGCTATATTAATAAGTACCCTAATTTTTCTTTAGCTCTTAGGAAGCTCAGAGAGAAATTTTTATTGACTTAAAGTATATTTTCTTATCCACTTATGCTTTTTTTCATAATATTGTCCTCTACTTGCCCATTTGGCCTTTGTCTACTATTCTTCGTTAATGAGTATTTACCTTTACTTTATGGTGAGCTAGCACATAATATTTTATAAGTTGAAAAGATATAAACGTGACTTATATTTGTCAATGTAATTAACTTTAGTTTGAGAATCCTCATTGTTGCTATATTTCAGTTTTTATTTTTATTGAATTCAAGAGAAGAGAACTTTTCCTTGTTACTTCGTGGTTTTTAGGAAGAAATTTAAAATTCTTAATCTATAATTCAAAGTCATTACAATTATGTGATGTTTCTCACTTATTTGCCATTGTCCTCTCCGCTCTGCCTTATGATCCATCCACGCCACAGTGCTTGCTGTTCCCTGAATTAGCAACACTGCTTTTACTACAGTTAACTTTGCCACTCATCCAAAAAATTCTTACTTTTCTTTCAAATGATACCTTCTATTTGGCATTACTCATGTCTCGTTGCACTTTTATTCAGACTTCTGTTACATTAGTTAGAATGTACTTCAAATTCAAGGGGAGAAACTTAATCTCACATGACAAAATGAATAGGAATTCAGTAGGCAGAGCAAAGGTAAGGAAATGATTAGAAAACACCTGTAGAAATGGGAATGCTAATTACAGACACATGAGATACTATGCATGATCTAGTCTGAATGTAGGTGAGGTTTCAGGTCATAGAAAAAATGAGAGCCAAAGTTGGAGAAATGTCTGCATCAGAGTATACAGATCCCAGAATGCAGCGCTGAGAGGTAGTCCCACAGTAAAAAAGACTGGGAGGTTTTGACGAGGGGACTTACATAGAAAGTATGCTGCAAGAAGTTACTCCTCTAGCAAAAATCTCTTGCTTAAGCCATGGTTTTTTGATTACTTACCCTAAATAAAGTTGTTGCTAAGACATCATGTTTTATCATTGTTTAGGATGAAGTCAGATCCTTTTCTCCAGGAAATGCCGAATGTAATTAACATGCCTCACGGAGACCGCAGGATCAACAATGGCCAGTGCGTTCTTCCAATAAATTTAGAGAAAGAAAAGCAGAAAAACAGAAAGAATCTGAGCTATGCTGATATGCTTCAAAGGAATTCTTTGAAAAAATGCGGAATTGATACAATTGATCTGCAAAGTAATGAAACTCCACCAGTGCCTCCTCCACGAAGCACATCTCGGAATTTTCCCAGCTCATACCCTGAACAAGCCTATGAAAGTCTGAAGGAAAGTTTAAATCTCAACAGCCAGGTGGTCCAAGAGGGTCCAGGCAAAAGGAACTGCAGTCCTCATGTCCTTCTGAGGCATGATGAGATGCCTGCACTGTGTCTAAATGAAGGGAAAACTTTGAAAAATGGTATCATGTTTTCTTCTTTGGCACCAGAAGCCAAAGTAGATAACAAGCCTCCATGTAAAGACAATGTTGGATTAAGCATGAGGTCATGCAACCCTGTGATAGGCACAGAAAATAGCCCCTCTGCCCTGTGGTTTCAGAAAACCTGCTCTACCCCCGATAAGTTGAAATATGAAAAGATGGTCCCAGATTGCCCTGCTAAGTCTCATTCTGACCTTCATGGAAGCAATGACTATAGCTCCTCAGGGACACAGACCAGTGGCCCACTTAGAAGTGTCAGTTGTGGCTTTGAAAGGACTACTAGGAATGAAAAGCTGGCAGCAAAGACTGATGAATTTAACAGAACTGTATTTAGAACAGATAGAAATTGTCGTGCAATACAGCAAAATCAAAGCTGCTCAGAATCATCTCAAGATCTTAAGCCTTATGATACCTTAATTACTCATATAGGCGGTGTACCAGAAAATGACAGTATGTCTGATATTCTGAAAACCAGTACCCACGTGCCTGTGCCTGGAGAACATGTGCCTGATAATCCCACCAGTAAATCCACAACAGCCCTACTCAGGCAAATGCAGGAACACCTGAGTCCTAGCAGTTATCGGAATGTGCTCCACGAGCATGACTGGAGACCCAGCAATTTGTCTGGCCGACCAAGATCAGCAGATCCTAGGTCAAATTATGGTGTTGTGGAAAAGCTGCTGAAAACCTATGAGACATCCACAGGGTCTGCACTGCAAAATTCTACATGCTTCAAGGATGATGGGCCCAAATATAATTCTGATGTCAGCGTTGGGGCCACATTGGGTCGGCATTTAAAAATAATCCAGACAGAACAAGAGCTTCAAGGAAAAACAGCTATGTGTGGGGCACAGCAAGTGATGCAAGGAATAGATTGGAAAAAGGTAACCGAGGTGAGAAAGAAGTTAGTGTATTTTGGTAGAACTTCATGTTCAGCCATGGGTCAGAGTTTAGTCCCTTGCATTCATATAAATAGAAGGCTCATGTTTTGATGTCTTAACTTTCTGACCCTTCACTTTGTGAATAACTATAAACCTTATGATTGTTACTTAACATGAGCTTGTTAAAGTGGAGTGTTAAGGGGTTAGCACATTTCCACTTTATTTTAAAATTCTGAAATAGGATAACATAAATATAGTATGTGTGCTTTAAGAACCTCGAGAAGATGAAGTGCTGTAACTTATTGAAAAAGTATTCTGAATACACATTTGTTGATTTATAGAATTTAATTCTTTTAAAGTATTTTTAAGCGTGTGGGAAATATTTAAAAAATAATTTGTACTTTTCAGCTATTAACTATTAATAATTCAGTCATTCTCAGTACTTGATTCATGATTTTTCTCATGGGTTTAGTCACATAAATGCAAAGATGGGTAAAGTGCATCATTTGAAATAGTTCCTTAAAAAAGCTCTCTTATTTATGGAGCCAATGGGCAGTGCATTGCAGTAAAAAGTGGTATTATAGCTTAAACAATTTCAAGGTCATTCTTATTTGTATAAAATTTTAGCATGAAAATGCAAAAAAAAAATGTACTTGGAACGGGGTTGTCCATTTTTTTGTTCCGAACAATTTTCAAGAGGGTAATCTTTATATTAGTTATTGGCGGAGAAGAGGTGGAAGAGGTTGGCGTTCACAATGAAGATCTATCCAACAGTACCCTATTATACATAATGCATAAAGCTTGTGCATTATACATAATGCACAAAAGTGACTTAATGTTAAAATTAGCTAATGCTTCAGAAATCCTTGTTTTTACAAAATACAACTATGTATTGTTGTGCAGGTTACTTCCTTCTTATTTGAAAAAAATATTTTGTGTGGCTTTCAAACCCTACTCTTAAATATCAGTTTTCATCTATTTGATCAGAAACCTTGTGCAAGTTTGCACAAGGCACAATTAATTACTTTGCCTTTGTTTCTTTATTTTTTCCATTACAGTTTACATTCAATATTATTTTTATTAGTTTCCAATGTACAGCCTAGTAGGTAGACAATTATGTACTTTACAAAGTGATCTCCTGAGACATTTCTAGCACTCACCTGGTGCCATACATTGTTATTACAGCGTTAATGACTTTATTTCCTATGCTGTGTTTTACATCCCCATGACTACTTTGTAACTACCCATCCGTGCTTCTCTAGCCCTTTGCCTTTTACTCCCAGTTCCCAAAACCCCCCTCCACTCTGGCAACCATCACTGTTCTCTGCATCTATGAGTCTGTTTCTGTTTTCTCTGTTCATTTATATTGTTCTTTGGATTCCACATATGAGTGAACTCATATGATATTTGTCTTTCTCTGACTTATTTCACTTAGGGCACTCTAGGTCCATCCATGCTGTTGCAAATGGTAAGATTTTGTTTTTTTTATGGTTGAGGAATATTTCATTGTGTGTGTGTGTGTATATATATATATATATATATATATATATATATATATATATATATATACCACAGCTTTTTTATCCACTCATCTATTGAGGGGCACTTGGGTTGCTTCCATAGCTTAGTTATTGTAAATGATGCTGCAGTGAACATGAGGGTGTGTATATGTATTTTTCACTTCAGTTGAGACCATAAATACCTGTAAGGTCCTTTAACTTCAGGTGGGAAATAAAAAACATGCATACAATAACCAGCCGAATTCTCATGAACTACATATTCCTCATTTTTGCATTGATTGGAGGTTTGGGAGGAGTCCTCTGCTATGGATCCTTAAAAGCAGTTCTTCACCCCCCTTCCCTCTAGCAAAATAAGATTCCAAAGAAAGAAAAAGAACCTGAAGGATACTGTCATAGAAATTGGGGCCATCCTTACTGCCTATCGCAGATAAAAGAGCAAAGGCTTTGTTGAAAAGGCCAGGAACAACCAAAGGTATAAAATGGGTTACATGCGCTTTTTAATCGCAAGGTTCTAAAAATGATTATCTCCCTTTAAAATAAAAAGAACAGAAGGAAGAAATGAAAGAAAAGGAAAGGAAGAGAAGGAAAAAAGTATGGCCATCAAATGAATGATGCGCTATGTTGATAGTAACTATTAGCAATTGCAGAATTTTTGAGAGCTTGTAACACTGCTTCTTAGTAGTGGAAAAAGCTTCAAACAAATCATTTGATGGTTTGTGTGCTTTTTGCTTATGACCTTTAAAAATGTTAATACCGAGAGAAAAAGGAGGTTTCTTTTATAAATTATCTTTTTGTTTTTAAATAAAACTTAAAACATTATAAAATACCACCAAGAAGCACCTGCAGTTCCATTGTATTAAAGTTATCTATGACATGAACTACTGAATAATAAACTTAAAATTCTAAAAAGAGACCAGTTGTGTTAAAATTTGTCAATGTGAAATTATTAAATGTCATATTACATATTAAAATTGCCTTGATTAAAATATTCAAGAGCACAAATATGAGATGACATTTTTAGTTTGTGATGTTCTTTCTTGCTCATAAATATGCTAACGCATTAAGACCGTTGTTGAGATTCATAAAATATTAAGCCCATTGTTGGTGCTGGTATAGTGAGAGGAACATCTTCTTCTGTCTTAGGAATCCATGGCAGTGAAATCTTCACATGGAAAAGGATTTTCCCGACCCGCTAGACCAGCAAATCGCCGTCTGCCATCCAGATGGGCATCCAGATCTCCATCGGCTCCCCCCGCATTGCGGAGAACTGCCCACTGCTCTGCTATTTCTCTGCGATCTGAAGCACCAGTGCTCTGAGTCTCTGGCCTGGATTTGCTAGATTTCAGATATTTCAACAGCGCGTCTCGAGGGTTCACAGGTCTTCCTGTCTCTTCTGTGTCTTTCAAGATCAGTGGGACGAGCAATTTAAATCTTAACTTCCCATCAGTCTTCAGTGTTTTTAACCTATGGAATATTTATCTTCCTGTCTGTTGATTTCTTAGATCAGACTTTTTAATGCCATCCTCATTAATTTGCCAATATGATTGAAGTGGAAACAATGTACTATATTGTATATTCTAACTTTCTTGCAAGTGGCAGAAAGCAAGGTTATGTGCATGGCCATGTGTTTGCAGGTGCATGTGTTGAAATAGGAAGTATCCTAGTATGTATTTAGATAAGAAAACTTTTGTGCTAGTGTTGACTTCAAAATTATAACATGTATACCTATATATTCTTTGTGTTTATTTTAAATTTTTGAAAATATACAGTACTATTTATATTTTGTATACCTTTTCATAGGTATCCACTTAAAGCATTTGAGGTACATATGTTAACTAACCACTTTCTGGGCCCCAGCTGCATTGAAAAATAAGAGTTATACGCATATCTAACATTGGTAGGTCCCTATAGACAACTCATAGTTTCTTAACCCACATAAGGAAAATACCATTGGTCTCCTATTTGACTCTTTTAAATAAAGAAAACTGTCACAGGTGTAACCGATCACCCTTCTGAAGCAAACATAAAATGTGCACGAAAGTTTTTATACATCATTTGGTAGTCTATTACAGCTTTAAAAACATACTTGGTCCTCAGAGCCAGAATCCTGAGACTGCCTTATAAACAACATGACTTAAAATGAATTTATTTTGTCAAATCCAGTTACAAACATTCTTTAAATGGGATATAAAAAGAAAATTATGTTGAATTCTATTTTTGTTATAATTGTAAGTTTTAGTTCAGCTACTTTATTTGGAGTCGTACCTGTTTAGAGGTAAGTCATTTACTTTTTCCTTTTTCTCAGAATCAGTAGATAAAGGAATAATTTACTTAGTTGTGAACAAGGAAGAGGAAGAATGATGTTTCTTATGTGTTTCTTTAAGTGTGCTACATGAAAAAAAGCCTTAAAGTAAACTTTGGTACCCAAGAGTAATGTAAGGGGCAGAAATATGTATTTTGGCCACAGTTTTCAAACAGCGAACACATAAAATCTAAGTGAGAACTGACAGAAATGTGAATGTTGAGGTACTTGTAATCCACATGGAATCTCTTAGAAATAATTTTACTCTCCATTGGCTCTGTATAAAACCAACTGTGTTATTAAGATATTAAGTTTATTTAAGCTTTGCCTTTACTACCAAAAAGGTTAAGAAATTCTTATGACAAAAGCGTCCAAAGAGCCTTCTCTGTACAGACAATTTACAGAAATTCACTTTATAATACACCAAGTAAATAGTTTCCAAATCCCAGACTGCCTTAACAGGCTCAAGACTGTTGCATGGTGGTGGGCAGATTTACACTTTTCAATGAGGGAGTACCCAGGAGTTGAACTTGAATTAAACTAGAATGTGAGGTTGGAGCAGGTGGTAAGTAAGGGCTATTGATCCACTTTTAAAATTCTTATTTCTTTCAGGAATATCCTTTTCCATAGGAAGCCTATCAGAGAAAAGGAACCTAGACACTAAATGAGGTCATTAATATAATGTGCATTGCACCTGGAAGGGAGAAAATGCTAGGGAGGTGGCAGCCTGTGGCATAAAGTGATGGCCATGGTAGAGATGCTGTTGTGTAAAGTTGGAGAGCCTGCCCAATGTGACATACCTGTTCCTCTGTGTCACTCTGTCCCGGATAGCTGATGGGGATCAGTGGTTCTGACCTTTAACGACAAGTCGGAATGTTGAGGATCTCTTTTACAAAATTAGATTACTGACTTCACCCCATGATTACTAAAGATTTTCCCGGGGTGGGGAATAAGAATATGGAGTATTTAATGAAACAGAACAAAACTGAAAGCAAACCATTTGATGATTAGGAAGATGTGAAAGAAGTGGCACTGATACCCAAGTGGCTGGGTGTCACTGGGTAGTCATGTTACATCCCTGGAACTTGCCTTTGTGACCTGTAAATTAAAAGTGTTATAGATAACTCAATAATTTTAAGCCACATTTTTCTATTACCAATTGATTTAAAGAGTGGGGCACATTTTAACATCTTACATTGACTAAAATCATAGAACTTTAGAGCTAAAAAAAGCATCTAGTCAAACTGCTTGATTGTAAAGATGAAGAAACTAAAACAAAGATCGTGTGACTGTTCTATTTTAGCATATAAGTTTATGTGGAAAAATCTATCAGATGAATGAAAATTACCTTTGAAAAATATTTTTTGATGTGTTGGGATTTTTAGCCAGTGCTTTCCTCCTTTGGATGGGCATTTTCTTCCCAACACCATACCCTTCATTATGACATCACTGCTAGATTTCAGGAATTTGTAAACATTTTAGAAATATTTGATGAGAAACACTTGTGTGAATCAAAGTTTTCTCTAGCAGACTTTTGCAAGGAAAATCTTATGTTATTTCAAATGATGATTACTAATATTATGAGTTATCTCAGAAAGGAATACAGTGCAGCAGAGAAGGATGATTGGGTTTCTGTGTGTGTGTTTGGGCATGGGTGTGCAAGTGCACAACATTTGCACGGGTTCTCTACATGGTCTTATGTCAAAGCCAAATATAAAACTCTAGTTTATGTTTGCATAATTCACTTGAACAAAAGTTATCTGTAACTTTTATTTGTTTTTGCATAGACAATGAAGATGACCAGATTATCATGCACAAAACATGATTTTCTTCTACATAGAGGATGTAGCCAGAACCCATGTCATCCTGAGAAAACATCTGGAACTAAAAAAGAGAGAATCTGATTCCCTACAGAGATTTTAAAAATTATTTTAGGCACATTTGTGACAAAACCACTACTTGATATCTACTTTGGTCATTGGAAGCTACTAAATAAAATAGGTGTGGAAACATTTGCTGTGGCATCTGTACACAGTTTTTGATTTTCCTCCTTTTCTACACTGGTCCTCAGGAAAGCTGAAAGTTTTTATGAAGTCTAAGCTCAAAATGTGCACATTTCAACCTAGCTTTATTTAAAATATATTTTTACTTCAATATTTGCAAGATATTTTGTGTTATAATTAACTTGGCAAATGATTCTTTGAGTTAATAAAATCTGGAGTGAAATAGATAATCTTCAATGAAAGCCAGAGAGCTATTTACAGTATTTTTTAAAGGAAGTACATGTAGGAGTGAAAGGGGACAATAGTCTTTACATGTTAGTACTCTCAAAAAGTAGACCACTGGTTCTAATATGTTCTTCCTAGGAAATTCCAGGAGACAGAAGCTGAGACCAGGCATGTCACCCATTAAAAAGGAAGCTGGTGGTTGTGTAGCCCAGGGAATCAAAGCTAGTGACTTTAACTCAGCAAAAACCAATGCTAGACTCTCCCAGGCAAATCAAAGGCCTTGGAAACGCCCTACATCAAGGACTCCAGGGATTACCCTGCTCAGAACTTAGTCATCCTCGAAGAGCTTCTTTGTAAAGCAGCTGAGACCAGACACTTGATCCAGGAAGAGAGTAAGAATGAAATGTTCTGGGAAGTAAACTGGCAAAAACAGGATACTTGCTCTAGAAGCCCAATGCTGGGAACCAGCATGAAAGGAAATTGAGAGATGCAGCTAGAGGTAGAGAGGGAAATTTTTATCCAAAATAAAATGGAGAGGTCTTCACTGGCACACCAGATCATTACTGAAGTTGGGAGCGAAGAAGAGTAGGTTAGTAAGTGAAGGACCCATTTTTAGGAACACAAGTGAAATCACCACAACACCGAAATAAGCAGAGGGTCAGTGCAGCTTGAGCTCCCACTGGGATATCTTTAGGAACTGGAATTGATAGGAGGCCATCAGAGGACCTCATTCTGAAGAATTTAAAAAGACAGGCAAAGATGAGCTACGGAATGATACTCTTTTCAATTTCTGTTGTCAGTTTCTTGTGACTATCACCAGGATCTTAAATTTTATATAATCAGATAAATATATTAAGCCATCTACACCTTCATATAATAGACCATAAGAGCAAAATTACACCCCAGACATTGAAACCACTATTTTCTCCAATAAGAAAAATGGGCACGTAATCAAATAGTAAGTCTGTTTTTAGAAGAACCACCTAGAATATCCCACAGAATTGTATGTAGGAAGTAGGTAAGGATAGAGAAAAACTGCATCTGAGAGTAAAATACAGCGTCAAAGAAAAAGAAGTGAAATGCGACTATAACTAAACAAGGTGGGACTTAACTGCTCTGAGCTCTGTCTGAATGAAAAAGAAATGGGATGCATGGGGTGGAGGAAAAGGTACCCCAAGAACAAGAATACCTAGTGTTGATCCATTGCTGTCTAGTAGAAAAGAGTAGGATCTGAGAACATGAAATGTCTGGACACAGAACTATTCCATTCTGTTGTGAGAGCCATAGGTTCCCCCAGACTGTTCTGTGGCACACAGGTGCCACCTCATTCCATCACCTCACTTTTCCACTCTCAATCATCCTTCTGTTCTCAAATTAGCTACCTAGGTATTTACAGAAAGTAAGAAACCGTCTAGATCAGTGTTTCTTGAGTGTTTCTGGAACGTTCTCTAATAGCGGAGAAAATAAATACTATCTAAAAGTCTCTAATAGTGTCTGAAATTCATTAAATTTGGGGAATTTTAATTTGAAGATTTTCACAGTCCTTAAATATGGATTTTTGTCTTTGTTCACTGATTAAAAGTGCCGGCAGATAGTAGGCTCAATAAATATTTGTTAAATAAGTTGACAAAATTTTTAATGTTATAATAGAAAAACAAATTATGTTCTCTCCTTTTTAATCACAGCTGAACTGAATGTACTCATTTTATAAAATTGAGCCAATCTGAATTTACATTATATAGTAATTTCTTTTCTTGTCATAGTGTCCCCATATTTTGAGGATGTGAATCCACTTAAAAATGTGCATGCAGGTTGGAATATTTTTTTACTTCTCGAAAACTTTATAAGCATAATCCAATCCATAAGGCAAAATGATCAGAACACTCGAAAGTTTTGTTAAGCATCTTTTAGTTGAAAAATCAAGTGACTCATGTCATATGAAATATTGTCTTTTATTGTCTTAAGGGAAAAATAAGTTGAAGAGCCCTTTGAAGGAAGAAAAACAAATACGTGCAGTAACTTTTATCACATAAATGAACTAAAAGCTTCCAAAATTTCATTGTCAGTGAAGTAGACTCTTCATAATTTTCACACTTTAATTCTGCTGCAGTCTTATCACACCCAGTGAAAGCTTTCACAATCTTGCTTTTTTAAGGAATTCAATCATAAAATGTTTTTGCTGAAT